TTATGTGGTGAAAATTGTCCTCTCTTTCTTTTTGTGTTCTAGTGCCTTCCTAATATATAAATATCAGTTATATTTTCTTCTGATTAATACTTTCATTTTTTATCTTCAAATCTTTCTTCCACATTAATTTACTTCAATGTAAGGAGAAAGGTTAGAACTCAGCTTTCCATCCCCAATGGTTGTCACATTGCCTCAAATAAAATAATAATCCAGATTTTCCCCTGACAAGAAAAGTAATACATATTTATCCTGTAACAAATTCTCATGTATATCTTCACTCGTTTTGGAACTCTATTGTCTCCTGCTGATTTTGTCTACCTATTGTGCATCAGTACAATATTCTTTTACTTGCTTGAGTTTTATGACATAGTTGAAGAAATAAACAGAGATAATCTATATTAGACTTCATCAGATTTCTCCTGTCTTCATATAATTATTTGCTCAGATGATGTTCAGATCAAAATAGTGAAATTACAAAATGTTCTGTTGGTACTTCTTGGAAGCACACTCAATTTGTAGATAATAGATAGCATAATTTTTCTGTGTTATTGATTCTTATTCAAGGGAAATACATGTTTTATATTTATTCCTTCTAACTTTGCCCATTTTTTGAGAGAGGGTCTCACTATATAGCCCTGGTTAGCCTTGAGCTCACAATCCTTCTGCTTTAGCCTCCTCACTGATGGGATTGCAGGTATGAACTCTTATGCTCAGCCCCTTAACTTCTTATCCAGTTTAGACTCCATTGTCTAGGATTATAATCATTCCCTTGAACATTGTAGTAGTTTCTTAATACTGCTATTATAAATGACATGAACTTAGTGAATTTATTATCTTACAATTTTGGAGATAAAAGTCTGTGATAGGTCTCAATGAGTTAAAATTAAGGGTCAGCAAAACCGTGTTCCTTTTTGGAGACTCCAGGAGAGAATCTGTTCTTTTGACCTTTGCAGTTTCTAAAGGTCACTACATTCCTTGGATTGTGGCCCCTTTCCTACATCATCAAAGCCAACAACACTGCATTTCTCTGGGCATACTTCCCTGATCACATTTTTCTCTGACCACCCACATAATTAGCTTAAGCTTTCTCAGGCAATCTAGGTTATTCTCCCTATCTCAAGGACCTTAACTCATCAAATTCACAAAGTTCCTTTTAATGCTCAAGGTAACATTCACACATTCCAGCGATTTGGCTATGGCCATCTTGGCAGGGGTCATTTTTCTGCCAACCACGGACATACTCTTAACTATCATGTTCTTCTCTCCCTTCACTAAAGTCAACTAGAAAATCCTAACCCTGATTAGGGAAAATCTGAATTAACTAGGGCTAAGGAATTTAATCTAAAACAAAAAGTGTTTTGTTTTGACAGTTCTGAACTGCCAGAATGTACCTTTTTGTACTTTACATTCCCAGTTAATAACCCTAGAAGGTCTTTTGGGTGCCTGAAAATCCTGCGACATTGCTGGTCCATTAGATTCTCTCTCTTCCATTCCTCTTCTCTTTTCTCAAACCTCTAGGACTTCTTTCCCATCTTCACTCATAACTGATGAAATTGCTTCCTGTTTCACTGGAGGTTGAGTGAAATTCACTATACTGAAATTCCACATGATCCCTCACTGTCTTCTAACTCACCTGCCTCTATGCCCATATAATTGATGTCTACCTAGCACTATAGCTCCACGAAAGGTCAAACCCTGTCTGTATTCTGGATCCTCTGCTGAAATCCACTCTTGGAAATCATGCCAGTAACTTCCCAATCACCCAATCTTCAATGTCCCCCTCTCTCTGCTGAATCCTGGCAGCTAATGATTATAATCAAATATCAAATATCATTTGTCTGATCCCGAGAAGCACCAGTTCACCAGTCCTACAGAAAGAGAAGGGTCTTCAGGGAGAGCTCCATAAATAAGACTACACAATCATCTTAAGGTGACAATGGATAAACAGATGAGCTTAAGTATGTTTCCATGTTCATTTTATGTACTGTCTAATCAGGTATGGTATCATTTCTTTAGGTTCTAGGCCCTGGCCACTGTATTTATTTTCCTGGTAAAATTATTTACATAGTGAATCTGACACTGTTTAGAACCTCTACTTGGGAGTTTGCATGAGGACTAAGTGCCCATATTTAGCTGTCATAGCACTTAGCATAGGCCACACATTCAAAAGACCTCAGTAAGTACTCCATGACTATAATCGTCTGCCCAAAACAATAACTTCAGAAACCCTTGGGTGAGGTCTGATTTTTTCCTCCCCATCCACACAGTTCTCCATAAGTGAGAAATTTTATTTCTAAGTTGCTAATTCCAGTTTTGGTAAAAATACCAACATATCCCTCATGGCATGGAAATGTCTTCTAATCTGTTAAAAGTATGAATCTTTCCTTGAAGGTGCTTGGAACCACACCATAGCAGAAATAAGCAATGGAAACAGAGCCTCTAGCAGACAAGTTTTATAACATTATTTGTTTGGTAAATGTTATTTAGTTAATAGGATCTTTAAAAAACAGGAACAAAGAGAAGCATCAGATTAAATGGGTTTAAAAATAAGGCTATGAAGAATATCTGTTCCCTAATAATTTATTTAATCTGTATTTAGTCTAGCTTTCAAAAACTTTCAAAGTCACCAGGCCATTCACTATAAATTGGGTTTGTCAACAATGCTTGCATTTTTTTAGGAATGAAAAGAATGTCTGTGCTCAAGGAAGGATAAAGTATAGGGTGGAACCAGGTGCATGGACCACCATGTGAGCTAAGTGGGAGGGAAGGGCAGAATTCAACTTTACCCTACAAGCAAACCAAGACCAGGTAAAGGAAGCGGGCCTGTCCTTGGGAGAAACAGTGACACAACCTGACAGTTGCTGGCACAGTTTTCACAACTGCCAAAGTTACTTTTTTTCTAGCCTGAACTGAGGGCCTCTATGTGTGAAATTAATGAAAAAATATCTGACAAGGGAACTGGGGTGGGGATTCCCTCTGTGGAGATGCTGGCTGTGCTTGTTGTGGTGGCAAGAAACCCAAAGGAGCAAGACATCTGTAGTGACATGCATGTTTTGCTAGCCCCTAAACCTTCCCTATCCCTGTCTTCTGAAGATCATCACAACCCCAACAGAGTCTCAGATTCCAACCTAAAGAACAAAACATGGCCCTAAGACTTCCCACCCAATGACAAACTCTGCTCTCAGTGTTTTTGTGCTACTCCTTCTAGAAGGAAAAACTGCCCCTCCTATTGCAGAGACAAACTACATGTGTGGGGGAGTGATGTACTGAGTTCTCAAATCCTAATCTTTAAGATTCCCAAGCCAGCACTCTTTCCCATATGCATAGCTGAGCCAAGAAAACAGCATCTTCAGCACTGCAAGTAACAGAATGTGAACATAAGTTCGTGTGTAAGGTTAGGTAGCTCAACCCTGGCACTTGAATACTTGAGGCCTGATAATTATTGTTAGGGAGACTGTCCTGTATATTGTACAGTATTTGGCAGCATCCCTGGCCTCTACCCTCTAGACACCAGTAGTATCCTTTCACCAAGCTGTGCCAACCAAATGTGTGGCCAGACATTGGCAGATGTCTCTGGAGGGTGGGAGGCAAATCTTCCCTGACTGAGAACCACATATCTATGTAAGTATGTATATGCATATGTACATATATGCACACCTATGTGCATTTGTGTGTGTTTACGTGTGTGGATCTATATGTGTGTGTGTGTATATATATATATATATATATATATGTATAGTTAGATTTCTGTCACTATGACTAAATACCTCAGAGAAGCAATTTAAAAGAAGGAAAGATTTATTTTGGCTCACAGTTTCAGAGATTTAAGTCGAAATGACCATGCCACTTGTCTCCATTGTTTCTGGGCCTGTGGTGAGGCAGAGCATCATGGCAGAAAAGGCAACATATAGCAAAGCTGCTCCCCTCATGGCAGACAGGAAGCAGAGAGAGAGCCAGTGGTGAAGGGGATTGGCAAGATATAGTCCTCAAGGACATGACTACAAGGGCCTACTCCCTTCTACTAGGTTTCACCTCCTATAGTTTCCACCGCCTCTCAGTAGTCCATTCAGTTATGAACACATCATTAACCTATTGATGAGGTTAGAGCTCTCATGATCCAGTTATCTCCCAAAAGTCCCATCTCTGAATCTGTTGCAGTGGGGATCAAGCCTTCAACACATGAGCCTCTGGGGGACATTCCAGATCCAAACTCTCTCTCTCTTTCTATGGATTATTTGATGAATAAATTTATGAAGCATCTAGCTTTTAAAACTCTCTGTCCTTCTTCTGCTTTCCTTTACTTTTCACACTGGCCAATGGTACTTTGTATGGGCAGATTTACTCTATATAACATATAGTTTTTCATACTGCCTCAAATTAGTTTTCTGCTATACCCTGATACAAATTATGAAGTGTCTTTATAGATGGTAGTAAACATTCAGAGACAGACTTCTATGGATTAAAAGAATTCCAGTGCGTGTTTCTCATCTTTTTGGGAGTTAGAAGCAGGTGTGCCTGGGCTCCATTGTCATAGTGGTGAAGCCTGACCAAGGCACACCAGGTGAAAGAAAGGCCACAAAGGAGTTAACTGCCATAAAATCCCCCATTCTGAGTTTGCAGGAGATCAAATGACAAGTTTAACAGGGTGCTAAGGTATTCTTTTCAAATGTATATTTTGAAATCGAGTTGAGAGGAACACAGCTTTTCTTCCAACCCTTTAAGTTGACCTCTCTGAAAGTTCTTTCCAATTGGTTGTTGTGAAGCCATTGAGGTATATGGCTTTTCTTTTAATGCCCCAAGTTGACCTTCCCTTTCAGCAAATGTGTGAGCTAACACAAGTTACCCTGCTTGGACATATCTTTCCAAATGGACATGAGTGTCAGTCAATGGCCAAGAAGCTGGAGTCTCCTTCCTGTGTTAATGCAGTTTTGGCACATCAGCTATTCCACTTGCAGGGCCCCCGGCAGGCAGACAGGCACACAAAGCAGATGGGGCCTTACCTTTGGGAATGGTGATCTGACAGCTCAGGTCACAATCCTGCTGCAGCTGATAAAAAGCCACTTCCTGTAGCCTAGCGCGCTCCAGCTCTGAGAGACTCTGGATGGGGACTGACCTCAGCCGCACGCTGCGGCCCGACATACTGTTCCAGGTGAAGTCACCCTGTAGACCAAGGGAAAAACATCAAGAGTTACACAGTTCATCTTCCGTTCGCAAACCTCATCCTCTCTCTTACTCAGTAATAAAAGCAAGCAAACTTCACCTTTGTGTTCTACAACCGGTTCTCAATTCTCAAATCCAAGTTCTCCCTTATTTTACTGTGGATTTTCTCAGGCAATTGCAAAAATCAAAATCTAAAGTAGTTTCAGGGTCACATGATCTCATCTGATGATGCATACATAGGACAAAGAAACCTATGTTCCAAGAAGAGGCAAGGGCTCTACTTTCTCCCCTTTATAGGAACTTTTTATTTTTCATGTTAGTAACAGGAACAACTGTGCAGCTAATGCACTCATATGGATTGGAAACAGAGGGTGAATGTGTTTGAAGAGGCTACCATGTGCCAGAAATTGTAGTACAAGCTTTTTAGTCAATCCATCCAATGACCTGATGAGGTGATCAACATTTTTACTCAACCTTATCTAACATTCAATAACATAATAACATTATATAATAAATATTGTAAATATAATACAAAACAATATGATTTTTCCTTGGTATCCAGGGAGGATTAGTTCCAGGATCCCCTGTAGGTAGCAAAAAATGTGTGTGCTCAAGCTCTTTATTTGAAGTGATAGTATTTGCATATAATCTACATACATCCTCCCCTATAATTTTTTTTGGTGGTATGGGGTTTGAACTTAGGGTTTCCTGTTTAGTAGCAAGTGCCCTGCCACTTGAGCCATACCTTCAGCCCCATCTTCCCCTATACTTTGAATCATCTCTAGGTTAATATTCACATTCAACACAATGTAAATACTGTATAGATAGTTTTAACAGTGTATTTCTTAGGGAAGAATAACAAAGGGAAAAGGTCTGTACCTGTTCAGTACAGATGCAAGTTTTTATTTTGGAACATATTTGATCCAAGTTTGGTCCAATCTGTGGATGTGAAATCCAAGAATAAGGAATGTTAACTTTAGCATACAGTATATACTTACAAAATATTATTGCAATACATACTTATGACACATAATAATAATATCACGGTAATATATGGTATATATAATTATGACAGCATGATATAGATGATGGAAATGGGCCTTAGAGATGTTTTATAATTTCCTCCAAATTTTAAGGACCAAAGCTAAAAATGCATGGCTTTAAACTCTATGGTAAAATTGAACCACTGGGTGTATATTTATAGCACTGTCTATTTTAATAACAATATGTACAGAGATATGATCAATAGCTATGCATATTTATAGAGACATTTGATATTAAAATACTGTACATCGAAGAGTCAAAGCAAAGATTTCTACAATCATAAGATCACATTTCTATAAACGCACACACACCCCTACTGTCCACTGAGTGTTGTGCTCCATCCTCAATTCAGTGAGAAAGGGACAGTCTAAGAAAGAGTAGTTCACAATCCTCTGAAACCCAGTGTTCTCTTACTGAAGAGAACTTCTAGCAAATAACAGATAACAGCCACAGTGCCATGGATTTGAAGAAGCGGCTATCTCTCCACAATCAAGAAACATTCTGGGAGACAGAGAGGTGCTGGCACACAAAGGCACTACCAGAGACCCACTGTGGATTCCCTAAGACTTCACTATCCTGAAGAAGTCATTCACCTTGAAGAAGGGAGACAGAAAGACTGGCCCAACCACTATTAAGGACACTTTTGTTGATATTGGTAGCAACTTTCTGCCTAGAATGTTCATTCCAAAGTGCATGGCATTATGCTATTCTTTGATATTTTTTCCTTCTTATCTGGGGTTTCAGTCATTCTTTCCACAAATGAAGATGTTATACCTTACTAAGGGCAGAAAATGAACAAGATAGATAATAAGCATAGAGCATTCAATATACACAACTTCCAGGGAAGAAAAAAATTTAGAGAAGGAGCAATAGAAGAAAAAGAATTGCAGTTTTAGATACAGAAGGCAGGCAACACTTGAACAAGGGTTAAAGGAAGTAAGGGCTTCATGTTTGTCAGTTGTGACATGTATGAATTTATATCCAGGGATAAGAAGATATTGTGGGAAGGAGTGAGTGAGGAAAGTTAGTAGCCTGTAGTCACAGTTTAATTTGCATTTTTCTTTCTTTAGTATAACTAGACAAAGTATAAGATTAAACAGTTAGAGTTGGTGATGTAGACCTTGGTTGTGCCCTTTACTCGCATCCTCTAAGCTCAGGATACCCTGAGGCACATTATCATAAATTGATTCTCTCCTTAAATGGGAAGTCTCAGATGAGTTTGTGACTTTTAGATATGAAGCTTTGGCCCCTAAGGGAGTGGATTGCTATTGGAAATGTCAAAATATAATTGCATACTTGTTATTTGAAAACATTTTAAACTGTGGCCTATAATGAGCCCAATTATCCATAGCAGGGTTTGGAAATTCCTTTCTATCAAGGGCCAGATAATAAATATTTCAGGCTTTGTGGGTCCTGTGATCTCTGTCATAATAACTCATCTCTACCTCTGGAGCACAAAAGCAGCCTTGGGTAATTTATAAATGAATGACTTTGGCATGTTTCAATAAAACTTTATTTGCAAAAACAGATGACAGCCTGTATTTGACTGCTGGGTTGTAGTTTGTCAATCTTTGAACTATAGCTTATTAGTGAAATAATTTCCAGAACTCAAACAATATGTTAAGAACACCTATTACATGCCAAGCACTATTGTAGGTTTGGAATTATTATGATGACAACACAGTCCTTGTCTTCAAAGAGTTAACCTTCATTTAGGAATAACACAAGCAATCTATAAAACATACAGATTTGTGATATTAGAAATAAGCACCAAATGAAATGGGTGCTTAGGAGACTACACTTTGCCATCTGTCTAGAGATCAAGGAAGGCTTTGCCGAAAGGGAGCATTTCAGTAGAGACCTGAAAGTTGAGTAAGAGGGATAAGGATATGTCCAGTAGAAATGAAAATTTGGAGAACATAGTAGGTGTCAAGGCAAATGAGTTTGAGAGCACAGTCTTATTTAGGATATCACAAGGCTAGAAGGAGGAAAACACCAGGAGGGCAAAGCCAAGCAGAAATCAGGGCCAGATCCTCTAGAACCTTCTACCTAGGCAATGCAAAATAGATTCAATTTTCCTCCACAGGTGAGGGCTATTCATTCAGGAACCTTGAGTAAGAGAGGAACACGATCAGACATTCAAATGGGAAAGATGACTAGAAATAAATTTCTTAAGTCATTGAAGGAAGGAGCAAGTCGAAGATGCAGAGGTAAGAAAAGCTGCTAGGCTAAGTATGATTTGATTCAAACTTGGACAGAAATTTTGATGAGCCGAAAAATGTCACCATACGAAGGTAGAAAACAAACGTGATGATATGTGTTTCAGAGAAGAGCTAATTCATGAAACGTATGCCCACCTAACAAACTTCACAGAAGCAGTATGACAAACACAAAGGTCAATGTCGCCACAAAGTGACAAACACCCAGAAAGAGCACCAAACCCTATCAGTACAGCCCAGAATACATTTCTGGCTGATTCTCAATTCTCAAATGTGTTTTCCAGGTCAGCATTTTTTCTTGGTGACCGTTTATCTCATACATAGATGAATCATTATAAGGCTCTCTGAATCTTGTATTTTGAATGGTTATCATAGGATATTTTTTAAGGATGGAAAATGGATAATTTCAAATTTTATTTAATTTTATAAATGTAGCTATTATTTTAAATCTTTTTTTTTTTGCAGTGCTAGGGACTGAACTCAGGTGCTTGGGCATACTAGGCATGTGCTTTACTATTGAATTTTATCCCCAACTAATGATAGGTGAAATTGAAACTGACCCAATGTCTTTGACTAGACTAAAGACTTTAACAATTGTAAAAACATATCCTTTTATTCTGGGGTACAATGTAACAGTATCAATGAAGGGTGGCACATATTATAAAAAGGATATAGTACACTGATTTGGCAGTGGGTAATGTTGCCCCAAGGAGCCATTTGGCAATATCTGAAGAAATTCTTGGTCATCCCAACTAAATGAGAGGGAAGTATGTTTGTACTGTTGGCTGGGGATCCTGCAAATCATCTACAATGCATAGGACAACCCCAACAATAAAGAACTATCTGATCCAAAATGCCACTAGTGCAGAGGTTAAGAAACCCTGGCATGGCATACATTTGATCTTCTGTTAAGCTCATGTTACAAAGGATCCTTTTAAAATGATGGTGTCAGGGAATGTTAACAATTATTTATACTTTTGTTTATCATCAAAGGCATGAACTATATATCCTTACGCATAGTATGTGTTATTCTGTATAGTGTGTACATATGAACAATCAGAGGATTTACTTTGACTAGCTTTGAGGAACACACACACCACACACTAATTTAAAAGAAGCAAACAATGAAGTCTCATGACAATAAAATGTTGATTAACTGTAGAACAACTCAGCAACAGTATTAACTAAAGAGATTTCTTTCCCACAAAAAGTATGTCTAAAAAAGAAGCAAATGGCAACCCCCAAACCCAACAACCTAATATCTATAACTTATTCAGCAAGGTCATTCTTTTGAGTTAAGCTGTATCTTTACAAACAGACTTCATTTTCCCATGAAATAAAATTGATTGAAATAATTTTGGTTTTGGTCTACACCACATTGTTTTCTTATGTCCTTGGGGCTAATCTCTAATTGCTGCATCTCTTTAGCCACATCCAACTATAAACTACCCAGGACCAAGGGAGCCCACAAGGGGTGGATGCAGGACTGTTTGAAATGTGCTCTGAGGAAACAGGATGTCAGAATCACCTTGGGCAGATAGTCATTGCCAAGCATGTGGGTTCTTGGACTCTAAGGCAGATTTAAGAAATTGAAGTCAGAAGGAATCAGGACCAAGCACCTCTATCATGAAGTAGCATCTCCAGATGATTACTATGCAGGTTGAGACCCGCTGGAGTGGTGGTAAGACTTGGGTACCATTGGAGGTGAACTTTTGGGCAAGATTCAGAATATCTTTA